TTATTACTAGGCGTAATTAAGGAGAGCCATTTTAGATAAAAGAGGTGGCAGGACTAAAAATGTTCTCTTTCTCTATCGTGTCTATGATAACATAGCTCTTATTAGCAAATTTCCAGTATAGTTTACTTAGGAAAATATCTTTTTAAAAATTAGAGTGACAAGTAGGGTGAGATAATATCTTTTTTGGACCAACTTCTGTCCAACAAAAGATATTACCTCACCCACCTTGTCTCTCTAATATCCTGGGATCAACAAGGCTACAACAACACTTTTAAAAAATTATTCTTCATTCATAGTGTTTCATTCCTAAACACAGTGTGAAGAATTAAATATGGATTCAATTTAAGTGACTTTCAGTGAACATAAAAGGTGTCAGATTGCACTGACGATTGGATCCTGTATTTATCCACAAAATAGTGCACAATGAGCAACAGTATGAGCTTCCCCCATACCATCCTACCCATGTGGAAGGGGCAAGACTAGAGGATATTTCATGTCTGTATTCATTAATGTTGGACTTGAGTGGAAGTTGTGGATGTGCAGAACTTTCCAGGATTCAGCTCTAAGTGCTTAGCCTCTGGTAAAACTGTCAACGGAGTGCTAATTAGTGGTGCTTTTTGTTATAGGGACATGTATGTGTCCTTTAGGAACTGGAATGAGACCAACCAACTCATTTCACACAGGTCACCTAACATCTGTCAGACGGTAATGACTTTCAATCGTTACCAACGTAGGGCTATATTCTATTGTGTTTTGCTGGTGTGATGTGAGAGGAAGGTGACAGGAGGAGTGTTTAGGAAGTCTATATGTATAGCCCCATATATATTATGTGTATTTTAATATATGTATGGTAATATAATATTGTAGATAATATATTTTGTGGCATATATATTAGGAACCCTTAATGGACAAAAAAGCACTAAGGAAACGGTGTCCATAAACCATAGCCCCAGTGCGCCTGCATATAAGTCTGTCCTTGTTGATCTGCTTGGCTGTCTCCCTACTACATATGCTACAATCATTACCAACCAGTGCTAGCTGAGTATCCAAAATGCTCCTTTTCATACCAACAGAAATGTGCACCCAATAATGCATTTACCAGACTCACCCCATAAAATCCTGGCAGGATTTTAAGAAGAATCTGCCAGCTTTTCTGCTCCCCATAGAAGCACTAGCCAGCAGAGGACTTGATCCTCAGACTACATATGCATTAATGACAAAGGCTGCATAACCTACTGCCACTATCCTGAGCCACTGAGTTCCTCCCTGCCCTACCAAAACAGTGAGTTTAGATGAAAACAAAGCAGAGTTTTCTCTTATAAGGTTAGAGGTCATAATAAGTGAAATGTCTGAGCTGACTGTACAAGAACAGCATAGCATGAAATCCTTCTGTTTCATCCACCTAATAAAACTCCAAAGAAAGGATCTTATGGCAGCAAAATGTGTCTCTTTCAATTTCTGCTCCTCTTTAGCAAGGGAATGAGGAGCTTGACTCTGTCGCTGAGAGAAAGCATTGGAATGCAGTTGCTGTCTGTGCTTTCTCAAAATGCCTGTTTTTAAAGCATCCGTGTAAAGGATGAGGTCTGAGTGGGACTGAGGTACATTTCATACCAGGGAAGTGCAGAACTATTTTGAAATGCATTCCCTACAAAAATGGTGAAAAGTGGTACCAGCATATAAGGAAATGTGTGCTGCATGCCGGTCTGTGTCCTCAAGCTGCAGTCATTAACTATTGATGGTGTAAACAACAGCTCTGTTGATAAACGGCAGGTCTTTTTCACAAACAGCTGTGTGCACTACAGAGACTTCCTGCTGAACCACACATTTTCAGATATTTAAAGCCTCATTAATAATGTGGGTTTGAAAGAAGAATGCACAGAAGTGAGTGGTGATAAGAAACTTCAGATGGGAAGAAGGACCACTTTGAGCAGTACCAGGATGCTGGGGGGAGGGGGAGACGTATAAATGGTTAGATCAGCTCCCCAATAAATAGGATCCTTGTTTGAGAATTTCAACTGTGCATAAAAAGCAGGTGGGTGACTTTCAATGGTCCTCTTCTTTCTGCCAACTCATTTCAATTAAAAACAGTGGGAAGCTACTTTTAGTTTTATTCATGAGGTTGAAAAATGAAATTGCAAGCAGGGCTAAGAAATTGCTGGCATCCGCTTCATCTCCCCACCTATTTCAATTTAATTCAGAGCTAAACTGCAGGGATTGGCACCTGAAGGTTAAAAGAACAATCAACCTGTTGGGTTAATTTGGTATCTCCGTCTATTTTCATTTGATTGTCATTTATTTTTGATTGAAAGATTCCAAATGCATTACAAAAACCCCTGTAAAGTGGAAATATCCCATTAAAGGATTTCATTTACAACTTGTGCTGGACATGAAACCAGGTCTTCAAAAGTTAAAGTTAATTTTGGTCTTCAAAAAGTCCTAATATTGAAATAGCATCTACTGATATGATCAGGAGATTCTTATTTCAGATAATTATACGGCATATTGGAAATAGGAGGAAATGTTTTTCTGACTGCATAAGTCTAATGTAGATCTTGTCTTTTTTAATACTGGAGTTTTTAAAAGGCAGTGGCACCCACTTATAATTAATTCAGGTAGAGTGAAACACAATGTATAATGAAGTAGAATTAAAGCCTCATATTCTTTTAAAACATACCAATGCACAGTTGCATGTAATGTGGGTTTGAAAGAAGAATGCACAGAAGTGAGGGCTGGGAAGAAACTTCTGATGGAAAGAAGGCCTACTTTGAGCAGTACCAGCTTTCATATGTACAGATGTTAACAAAACTATGAAATTGTCAGTAGTATTCAGAGATGAATTAAAATTCTAGGTAGACTCAAATTGCAACTGAAAAGGATCTTATTCTCATTTATACTTAAAATGAGTGTAACTGTAATTTACATGAACTCTCAGACCACTTTACACTGCCAGAGCAGCGTGAAGAGGTTTAAGTGCAAGTGAAAATCAAGCATAAAGTGTTTATAGCTGATTCAATTTACAGTAAGCTATCAGTGCTTACAGAACCCCTTTGATCTTTGTAAAATCTAGTGACTGAATCTAGGTTGTTTTTTTAAGAATGGTAAAGAAAATACATAGAACTAAGTTTGAGCTGAATATCATTTTACAAAACTTGGATAAAAACAATTAAGCTTTTTTCTTCTCCCTTGGGTTTTGCAATAAGGCTAAATACAGTTGGACTGTTTATTTAGATTTTTTTTTTAAAACAAAACAAATTAAATCTCTGGCGCTGGACTCATTTGTTCAAAATACCAGTTTAAGGTTGTCTTTATTTCTGGTGACCATTAGTGTCATTCTCTGAATGCTCTGTATGATAGGAAATTTGGGTAACAGAAATTATGAGATTAGATTATAAATCAAGATTGTTCTTCCTTAGGAAGAGAGGGGAAACCTCCTTCCTCATCCCTTTCTTTAGTATTGTTAGAAGAAAGAGGGGAATTGAGGAAAAACTTGAACGCCCAATAGAAATTCTGAAAGTAAAGGAGAATGAATCTCTAAGAAACATACGCAGGTCTGGTTCTCTAGTCGGAAATTCCTGTTCTTGTGATGGACTTTGGAATCCAGAACATTCACACACCAACAGGAAGGAATGGAAGGAAGAAAAGTTGACAGACTCTGGGTGGGATTTTCAAAAGCACTCAGCATTGATCTGATTCTGCTTCCACTGAAGTCAAGCTAAAACTCCCATTGATTACGGCGTGAGCAGAACTCGCCAACAGAGTACTCTTAAAATCCTACTCAGAAAGTATATATCAATTTGCCACTCTTTTTGACCAGTAGTTTCTAAAGGACATAAGGAAAGAGAGAGGTAAGGAGAATTATTTGAATTGGAGTTTGTCTGAGAAAACTTCCTTAACATGAAAAGCCTGTGTATAAAACAATCAGCCTTCCAGGTATGCAGTAGCTAGGGAGAAGAAAAGGAAAGCATCGTAGACAATCAAGGAAACAGGTTAACTGTGATTGCATACTGCACTGATTTGTCTATCTTTGGTTATTTCTAGCTGTGACAATTTCTACCCCTGAGCTTTATTTTTTTAGACAATGATTTTTCTTTCATTCTTCCTGTGTGTGATTTTGAATGAACTCATTGAAATAGAAAAGAACTACTTCAAAAATGTCAGACCAACGTGTTTGGTAGATGGGCAGAAATTGTTTGTTTAAAGAATGACCTATATGCTTGTTGCTAGATTATATCTTGGTGAATGTTATGCTTCTGGACCATGTGATTATTCCGCATTGCTATTGACAAAATTAGAATAAATTAAGCTGTGTGGTAGTTTTGAGTGCTGCAAAACAAATTCTGTGTGCCACCTCAAAGTGGGTACATTTCATTGCTCGTGAAGTTACTGCTTACCTAGCTAACAGGGTAGTTGAGGCTGACATAATGTTTGCAAAGCACTTTTGAGATTAAACAAACTATATAAAATAAAAGTATATTGTTCTACTTCAGTATAAATGGAGTTTCTGTATATTTGAGCTCACTTTAAGCAGATTCTACATATATTTGCGACATCTGCAACAGCACATCTGGCTATCATCACAGCTGTGAAAAAAAATTGTGCTTTTGTTTTTTGTTTTAAGAAACTCCATCAGCTCCAAAGCATAGGGAGAGCTTAATTAAAGCCATTAAAGAAATCTGTAAGGAAAAGAAATATCATAAGTGCTTAAATATGCTGTTTTTGTTCTGAGCTCATGAAATCTGTCTCCCGTACTGGACTGTCAGATGAATCACAGTTAAATACACAGTGATGAAGGAGTTCATAGAAAGCCTCTTGGAGTGGAGGTGTGGGCTCCCTTTAACACTCTTCTTTGTATAGAAATTATGGTTCAAATTCTGCTCACTTCACTAATAAAAGTATTCCACTGATAGTGTCACTGTTTACATAATCAAGGCATTAACAGTGAAGGTTTGGCTCTGCATCATGCAAATGAGAGCTCTAATTTTCCTTCTTCTGTCCAACAGGAGGAGAAGTTCCTTATACGACACTGGCAACGCGAATGATGATGGGCGCCTGGTGGCTTTTTGCTTTGATTGTCATCTCATCTTACACAGCAAACCTAGCAGCTTTTCTCACAATCACTCGCATTGAGAACTCCATCCAGTAAGTGGACAAAGAACAGATGGTGGGTGGGTGTGTCTGTGGGGGTGTGTAAGTATATGAAAAGGTGGAAACCCTGAGAAAAAACACTCTTTAGCCAATATTCTTTGGGGCAGAATGTCTCGCAGATCAATCTAACTGGTAACTTACTGCAAGCTAATTACTTTTCTCAGGGTAGGTCTACACTTACCCGGTAGTTCGGCGGCAAGCAAATCGAACTTCTGGGTTCGACTTATCGCGTCTTGTCTGGACGCGATAAGTCGAACCCGGAAGTGCTCGCCGTCGACTGCGGTACTCCAGCTCGACAAGAGGAGTACGTAAAGTCGAGGGGGGAGCCTGCCTGCCGCGTCTGGACGGAGGTAAGTTCGAACTAAGTTACTTCGAACTTCTGCTACGTTATTCACGTAGCTGAAGTTGCGTACCTTAGTTCGAATTGGGGGGTTAGTGTAGACCTGCCCTCAGGCACAAAGAAGTTTATGTCCCTTAGACGTATATATATTCTAAAGGAAATTGTTACTGTCTAAAAGGTTTGAGGAAGTAGAACCTGGAACAGTTATTTAATGTCTGTGGTTGTCAGACGTCCCCCACGAAAAGGTGCTATTATATCAGTGTTTGAAATGGAAAAATAAGTATTGAAGTGCTCCCCTTCCACACTCTCCAGTTGTAATCAGCCCCAAGAGTCTGTATCCTGACCCTTTCATGGCAGTTAGTCAAAGAGTTGGTTGTTTCTGAGGGTTTAAAATGAAACTCCCCCTTTTCTGCCAGGGAAATGCAATCAAATGTGTTAATATGAATGAATAAATAAAATTAACAGACCCATTCTCTCCTTCATTTTAAGCTCGTATTTTTGCCATATCATTTTCCTCACACTTTCTTCTTGCGACCTGTCTGCTGCTTTCTCCTTTCCCTTTGTATTTACTCTCCTTTTCCTCTCTGCATCTCCACATCTTGTTATTTCTCTGTCTCCCTCCCAGGATTGCTCGTGTCTTCCCCTGTCTAAGAGTAGATCTGTACTGCATTCTGAGGTGTGGTTGCAGCCTGGGTAGACATACCTGTGTTTGCAAGGATAAAAATAGCAATGCTGATACTGCAACACAGTCTTCAGGTGAAGACTGCACCACGAGTACATACCTAGGGGCCATAGAATGCTTTCACAGCCCACACTTGAGCCTGGGCACCTGTCTAGAGTGCTCTTTTAGCTGTACTAGCATGGCTAGAGCTATCACAGGTATATCTACCCATGCTTGGTCACACCTTGGATTGCAGGGTAGGCGTACCCTTGGTTACTATTAGCTATCTTTCCATCTGACCCCCTGTGACAGGTTAGATCACAGAACCCCGTTTGGGAGCTGCCACCTGATGTGCCAAGACTACTTCTGCTCCTGCTTTCCCTGCCAAGCTCGGGACCCCAGCATCCTGTCTTGCTGAGCCAGACACGCCCATCTGCTCCAACACAGACCCAGGGCCTGAATTACTTGCCCCAAAGCTTCAGACTTAACTGAAAGCAGTTTACAGAAGTGTTCTTGTCTTTAACACTCAGATGCCCAACTTCCAATGGGGTCTAAAACCCAAATAAATCTGTTTTACCCTGTATAAAGCTTATACAAGGTAAACTCATAAATTGTTTACCCTCTATAACACTGATAGAGAGAGATGCACAGCTGTTTGCCCCCCCCCCCCAGGTATTAATACATACTCTGGGTTAATTAATAAGTAAAAGGTGATTTTATTAAATACAGAAAGTAGGATTTAAGTGGTTTCAAGTAGTAACAGACAGAACAAAGTGAATTACCAAGTGAAATAAAATAAAACACGCAAATCTAAGCCTAATACAGTAATACAATTGAGTACAGATAAAATCTCACCCTGAGAGATGTTTCAATAAGTTTCTTTCACAGACTGGATGCCTTCCTAGTCTGGGCACAATCCTTTCCCCTGGTACAGCCCTTGTTTCAGCTCAGGTGGTAGCTAGGGGATTCCTCATGATGGCTCCTCCTTTGTTCTGTTCCACCCATTTATATATCTTTTGCATAAGGCAGGAATCCTTTGTCCCTCTCTGGGTTCCCCCCCCCCATCCTTCTTAATGGAAAGACACCAGGTTAAAGATGGATTCCAGTTTAGGTGACATGATCACATGTCACTGTAAGACTTCATTACCCACTTGCCAGCACATACGTATACAGGAAGACTTACAAGTAAAACAGAGCCATCTGCAGTCAATTGGTTAATGGGAGTTATCAAGATTTCAAACCACCATTAATGGCCCACACTTTGCATAATTACAATAGGCCCTTAGAGTTATATTTTATATTTCTAGTTTCAGATACAAGAGTGGTACATTTATACAAATAGGATGATCACACTTAGTAGATAATAAGCTTTGTAATGATACCTTACAAGAGACCTTTTGTATAAAGCATATTTCAGTTATATTAGCATATTTTTATAAAATTATATAAAGTGCAAGTCACACCTCCCATCTCCTTTTTCAGGTCTCCCTATGTATTTCTCTCTCCCTCTTACCATAGGAACCTTTATCTCTACTTTACTCCTCCTCTGTTCTTCAAACTCATGACTCCCTCCGCAAACAGCACTCCGTGTGTCATCATCTCCCACCCCACCCACCAAAATCGCTGTCTCTCTTCTTACCAAAAACCAGAAACTGTATATGGGAGGGAAGGCAAAGATTTTGGAAAGACGCAGAGACTTTGATGAAGAAGGGGGGAACATAGTCTCTAACCCCCATAAAAAATGTCTGTTCCCTCAGGAAGGGAGCCCCTATATGTCTCCCCCCCCCCACGCAAGAACATGTCTCTTCCCAACACCCTATAAATATCTGTCCGATTTTGTTCCTTCTCCAAATGTCACTCTGCCTCCCCTTCCATGACCCCACCACTAATTTTGCCTCCCCCTTCCTTCATCTCCCATACAAGAAGGGAGTTCTAGCCAGCCCTGCTTACTGGGAGACCACCACCCATTCTTGGTAGCAGGGCTGAGTGCTTAGGGCCAGGTGGCTTTGTCATATATCTGCCTGGAGAGAGAGGGGATGATGAGACCTTTCTGTAAATCCTTGGTTTGGATAGGGAGGAATAGCTATTAAGAAGAGCTGTACATGCAGCTATATGCCTTTCCAGGGAGAAAAGGAACAGCTGGAGAGTAAGCAGATGCTGGGGTGTACTGGAGATGGGCTTGAATCAGAACCCCAGATTAGAATAAGTGATAAACTGGAGAGGGTTCTGAGAAGAGAATGATTAAAGGATTGGAAAGCATGTCATATAATTAGGGACTCAAGGAGCTCAATCTATTTAGCTTAACAAAGAAGAAATTAAGGGGTGACCTTATCAGTCTGTAAGTACCTACGTGGTTAACAAATATTTGATAACGGGCTCTTCAGTCTAGCAGACAAAGGTGTAACACAATCCAGTGGCTAGAAGCTGAAGCTAGACAAATTCAGACCGGAAATAAGGCATACATTTTAATTAACCATTAGAACAATTTACCAAGGATTGTGGTGGATTCTTCATCACTGGCAATTTTTAAATCAAGATTGGATATTTTTTCTAAAGATATGCTCTAGTTCAAACAGGAATTAATTCAAGGAAGTTATGGGCTGTGTTATGCAGGAGGTCAGACTAGATGACCACAGTGGCTAGAACTTGCTTAGAATCTATTAAACACTCCTGAATTTAGGGAAAATTCAGATTTCTCTCTCTTTTTGAAACCAAAATTTGTGACTCAGGCTCATTGTGCTTATGTACCATTATGATCATGCTGCCCAATGTGTCCTACTGTGCATACAAACACATCGAAACTGCATTATATAATTGCTTAGGTCAAATTAAAATCTTCTTTTGATACTTAAATGTTAAATTGTGAGATCTCTTGTTGCTGAAGAGGTGCTTTGGCAGAACTGAAATGTTAGACTCATTAGGGAGTAAGCTTGGGCTGTTGATCTGTTGATTAGTAAAGGATCTCAGCTGTTTTTTTAAAAAAAGATATTTCTTTCAGTCTTACACGACAAAAAGAAAGTGTCAATAAATTGTTCTCTCAACCACGCTCAGGGCCGGCTCTAGGATTTTTGCCGCCCTAAGCAAAAACAATTTTGGCCGTCCCCCACCCCCCCGTTTTTTAATTACCCCACCCCCTGGCCCCGCCTCAACTCCGCCCCTTCCCCAAATCCCCAGCCCTGCCTCCTCTCCCCAGGCTCTCAAGCCTGGGAGGGAGGGGGAGCAGCGGCGCGCGAAACGGCCACTCGGGATCTCCCCCTCCCTCCCAGGTTTGAGAGCCTGGGAGGGAGGGGGAGACTCCGAGTGGCCGCGGCGCGGCTCTCAAG